GCATCAAAAAGCATAGTGCGGCCATTGCCATCCAAGCTGTTAAGCTGCACCGATTTGGACGGCGGGTCATACCAAAGCTGTAATGGCCAAGGGATGCCCGGCAAGTCCGAACGCGTTCCAACGTCTACTGGTTGGGAAAACAACTGTGTTCCAACAGCATAAGTTTTGAGTAGCTGGTATCCAGCGGAACGCATAAGACACTCGACTTGAGTCCATTTAGGAACGGCGAACACCGCAGAAGTTGTTTTAGGATTTTTTAGCTTACAGCGGTGGTAATGTTGCTGCCATTCTTTAATATGAGTGTATGGGGGATTGATCCAAACAAACTCGCCAGATACGTCCGTATCAAAGAACGAGTTGGATGGAGAGGCAAAGCGCGAACAGAGACTGTTGTCGCCCGAGTCGTTACAAGCGGCATCGAATGTAAATTGACGCCCAAGTTCGTTCTCAACCCTTCGAAATTCATCACGAAGGAACATCCGATCACATATCAACGGATCGCAAACGGGCGGAACAACAGAGTCCCTAATCTTCAAGTCAGGCTCGGCAGAAGAGACTTCGTCTACACGTGCTACAGCACTAACGGCCTGCTTGCAAGACACCCCCGCGCGCTTGCCAGCGTCCTAATTAGCCGGTCGGTTCGCATTCAAACTAGCCGTCTTCTCCTGCAGTCGGGCCATCTGCTCCTGCAGGTGGCGAAGGCAGTCCTTCTTGTGCTCTTCCCAAGTCTGGTTCGCCGGTTTGAGGCGAGAGCACATCCGACACTTGAGAGGAGTACCGGACGTTGACGTCCGCGGTTTCTTCGCACGAACCGTTTCCCAGGCCTGTTTGGAAGGGGACCGAGGGCGAGATTGCTTAGGGCGAGAGGAGGAAGTAATCTTCGACGGGCCAGCTTGCGTAGTAACTACAGCAAGCTGTGCTTTGTCCTTTCCGGCTTTCCACCGAACCTCCTGACCACTAGCATACAGGATTAGTTTCTCTAAATCCTGCCAGTCTTTGCCCTCATCGTCCGTAGCGCAGCGACCGCGCAGCGCAGGAACTAAGCCCTTGATATACCAAGAGATTTGATCCGCAACACTCATATCATTCGCTTCGCGAACAATATCGTAAAAGCGCTGCGTATACTCCGGCACGGACTCGTCTATTTTCATATCGTACTCGTGCGCATGCAAACGATCGCGTGCGGCCATCGCGGTGTCGCGCTTCGCATCCCCATATTGTAACAGGAATTTATCACGCAACAAATCGCGGGTAAGTGGTTGCGCGCCGGACTTGTGCTTAAGGAAAAGATCCGCGGCCCACTCCTGAGCCTTGCCCGTAAGCCAAAACATAAAGTGCTCAAGCGGGTCCATTTGCGACAAGTCAAAATATTGCATAAGGAGCGCGAACCATGTCTTAGTATTAGTAATCTGCGAATCCTTCTTTCCACTAAAACGAGGTGGTGCAAGGATACGCTTATTTACCTCGGAGGGACGTGCAGACTTTGAAGGAGGGGCCGCCGAGCCGGAAGGACCACCGGCTTGCTTGGCGATGCCCTCGCCCCAGAGCTGCTTGACCTCTTCCAAGCGTACTTCGGGAGTAAGGTGGCGCTGCAGAAGCGCCTGAAACGCGCAATTCTGCAGCATATCCACGTCAAGAAATGCGGCCAGATTGCTGTCCAGCGTCTCGCAGATGCCATCAATAATTATCGTCTTACGCCTAGTGTCCGACGTACTCGGAGGCAGCGATGTAGGTGTCAAATCCCGAAGTTGCGCCTGGACATCCTTCAGGGCGGAGGTTATCTCGCCTAAGCGCTCGCCGTATTCGGCGAGAATGCCGTGAACCTCTCCCTTGAAGGAAGATAATTCCGCTTGAAGCGCGGGGACTTGATTGTCGCGAGCAGCGCGAAGCATTTCTTGGACCTGCGCGGCTGCAGCAGCCTGCGCTGGCGTACGCGCCGGAAGCCCGCCCGTAGAAGGCGAGGCCCGCTGCGCGGTCTCCGAAGGCGATTCCGCCGGAGGATCAACGTCCATCTGTGGACAATTAACAGGAATATTATTAATATGATGTCCCTTATTGGGAATAGCCAAAGGGCGTTCGTCTTCGTCGTCGGAATTAGCAGCCTCGGGCGCAGCAGGGTCCTGTTCCTGAAGGGATGCTTCGCGATATCTTTCATACGATTTTTGAAGCTCAAGGAATTTAGTTAAACGCTTTTGCGCGGCCTTATTGTAGCGCATCGCGTCAAGGAGGATCGAACTTGACGATCGATACCAATGTAGCAGTCGCTCACCTGACGGGAGGACTGGCAAAGCGGAAGCGTGGAGTTATTAGTCCTCGTCGATGTAGGAAGAAGTCCAACCAAGCGGCAGGCACTAGCGTACATAAGATGTGTACGTAACGGTTAGAGACGGCGGCAGCGGAGTCTTGAACTCCGAACACCTAGTAATGTGATACGTCAGTGTCTGGCCAGAACACCCCGCCCGGGTAGCTTATATCTCGGCCTACCTGCCGGATAATCTCTACTACGGACCTTGCCGTACTAGGATAATGTTGGTGGGGCCCGGGGCCCCAGCCCGTTAGATTCGCTTACGAACAACTGCCCAGTTCGCGACATGTGACGAAACTCGGAACATGTACGAAACTTGAGTCAGATCGTTTAACAAATTAACAGTTATTGTTAAAAGTAATCGTTAAAATACTCTAAGGGAAATGTAGACTGCTACAGCGCCCGTGTCATCGGTCGCCGCTGGCAGCAACATTGCCGATGCATTACCGACAACAGCACCGCCGTCCCAAACGCCTTTATCAGGAAAAATTTTAGACTTATCTTGCTGTTTTTGTGTTTGTTCGGCGTTCAAGTCGTTGCCTTTTGCGTGTTTGTCTATGGAAGGACCGGTCATACATTCTGCTATGCCGCGTTGACTCACGGGCTTGACCTTCTTACGGCCCCTCATATCTATTTTATGATCGATAATACTAAGTTCTGCACACTACGGAGCAATCTGGCAGCAATGGACGTTTTTGGCTGAAGGAATGAAAATGTACGGATCGGCCTCACTTTGTTCCTTATTTCCAAAGGCCAAAAAGGCCTCTTTATTCCTTAAAAGTAATATATTACTTAAAAAAAAAACACTGCTGGTATAGCCCACCTGTCCAAAGATTTTTCATTTGACTTTTCTGAGCAAGGGAGATGCTGATCTCGTCACAGCCGTCCTCGTGTTCATCAGGAACTTGTCCATGCATCCCTCGCCCAAGCTGGGTGGCAATTGACCAGGCATTGCATGAGAGACGTAGCTTGAGTAAGTCCGACATACTCGTCACATTATTTATGATGTTGCAAGGTTGTGCACAGCAGTGTTGCCTCGAACATAATGCCTCACCCAGCTGCCGGATTCTACGCAGCATGGAAAGCACTTCATATATGCCTAGCTCTGTTGCTTATACAGGGACACAATGGCTTCAGCACAGTTTTTTTTCGTTTTGGGCCAAATACCCTAGAGTAATAAACACCTGACGTCTGGAAACACACATGCCGTACCACCATTGTTCTGTGCACCTAACTGCATTTGCACCAGTGTCTCTGTGAGCAGGGCGCAGAGCCACTTTGACTGTCCATAAACATTGTGAGCACGCGAAGGCAAAGTTATATATATGTACACTGTCGGCACCATCAACACCACTGCATTGCACCAGCCACAGACCAGTTGCTGGCTAGGCCTCTGCACCACATCAGAAGCTAGTCGTTCATGCGGTACTGCCCCATGATCACGGCCTCACGCCACTTCTTCACTGCCACATCGAAGGGGAACGTGTGCAGAATCACGTCCTGCGTGAACATCCTGACGCAGAGCACCAGGTGCTTGTCCAGGTGGTTGTGGACCTTGCTCTGCATGAAGTTCATGGCCTAAAGACGGCGCTCATCCTCCACCGTACGTAAAGCCACGTACTCCTTTAGGCTCTCTGCATGGACAGGGGTGTTCTCCAGCTGCTTCCAAAGCTGGATGGTGGGGCGCTCTTCCTTCTCCTCACGTACGTAGCTTTCACTGCACGACCTTGCTGCCAGCAGCCGCCAGCTCCACCTCAAGCTGCAGTTGTGCGTGGCCGCTTCACCGGGGGATCCTCAACTTTGCTCAAATCGCTGGCTTCACTGTCTTCAAGAGCGCAAGGACGCCCGACTACGGTGTCTTCAGGAACTGCGGCATGCCTATCCTTGTCTTCTGTATTATCTAATTCTTCTCTAAGTGTTTGGGGCATTGCGTCTGCGGAGTTTCTGAGCCGTTTGCTTTGGTCAAGAATGCAACAGCGGGCCGTCTCATGGTGATATCATCAAACATCTTATATATAAATAGTGTATAAGCTCCAAATCGTCAGCTTTATATGTGCAGAAGGCATTTGGGGCGACTTATGGCCGAAGTGAGGCCCCTCACCGGGCCGGAATTCTGGAATTTGACCTCGTGAATTCCCAAGCAAATCCGGGTCAAATCCCAACGGGATTTGAGGATTTGACCCCCAAAACAATAAACAATATAATGGTCATGCAAAGATTTCCTCGGGCATGGAATTCGACACATTTGAGGATTGGAACCCCCCAAAACAATTATCATGGCCATGCAAACAATTCCATGCGCAGCCATTACAATATATTACATATCTTCGATCGCGAGCGGCATGTTATGCTCGTGCCAGTCAGTCCTCGCGACGCATGCCTTCAAACATTTAGTTAGACTTTTACTATTAGAGTTATTCCTCCAAAGCCGGCGCTCACCACAAAGAGCGATGTCAGACAGCGGTGATGGACGGGCCAACAAACACCGAAAGGCTCAACCAGGTACCCTAGATGAACTGAACCGGCACGTGCAACAATTAGGCAAGAAAACGAATACGAACTGTACGTTTTCTTCATATGGGATAACAATCTCACTTGCAAGGGTCGCGGACAGCATCCCCGGGATTGAGAGGCAGCTAGGCGTCACATTCTCTACTCAGGATGTCTCAGACATGCGTGTGAGTTATCAATAAAGTTAACCCCTAGTATGTTGTGGTGGAATGGTCGCTTTACCCTGCTGGTGCTCGTACGATTTCGTGTCGTCAGATCCGGTGTCCCCCTTGCGTGCACCGGAGCTGCCCGGTCGGATGTAGGACTGGCTGTGGTTGGAAACATGCTGGCTCCGGTATGCCAAAGATCCTGTGGATGTCACGAGGATGTTACCCTTATGATGATACACCAAGCATGTACCAGTTCCCAATTGGCAACCCCCATGATCACCCCCCCCTGTTCATCCGTGACACACCTTTCGAAGTATTGAACCCAGATAGGCTGGTAAAGACACTCTGCGCGAGCTGCCCTCCGAGGTAGGTCTTAGTGGCGCCTCTGGCGTCCGCAGAGAAGAAATATGCAAGGAATGGCATTCGGGTAGCCCGTGGGCCCCCCGTGTAGTCTTCCATGTTACTTGCATATCGTGTCCAGTGCCGCGCTGGCTGTGTTTCGAGTCACAGGCTTTGCTGACCTTGCCCTTGCTTTCTGAAATAAGCACCTCAAAATCCTGCTGGCCCCCAAACAGACACTGCGATACTAACTGCCTAGTGAACCCCAACAACCGGGTATCCCAGTCGGGAGCACCCTGAAGGTGCTGAGATATGTAGACACTGACTTTCTTGGAATCCTTGTCTAGTAGAAAGGCTAACACGATGGTCTCTGGTCCTACTGCGTCTGGCAGCCGCCTTAGCAGTGAGTAGTCTTAGGGTTCCACAAGCTGGCGTGTTGATATCTGACTTAACGCACTTGCACACTTCGACTAAGTGACAAAGAGGTAGCGAGTTATGTGAGCAAATATGAAAGTGGCGATGTTTTGGTTTGGCGATACTGCTAATTGGCCTTTGGCCGAAGTAATGAACCAGTACGGCCAACTGACCCAACGATTCCATTTCTTCCAGGCTCAGACCCCCCATTTATTCCGAAAAAGTAACATATAACCAAATAGGGGGGTCCATGTGAAGCAGCTGCCCGCGTTTCCAAAGCACGTATGGTGTTGGATTGTAAGGTGCCCAAGTACTTTTGCGAGGAAGAGAATGTGGCCAGGCTGGAGAGGAAAGTGCAGTGGCATATTGGAATGTGAGATTAGCGTAAGCGAGTTACAGGGCGTTTTATTGCACGGGCGAATTTACGTGCAAATCTTTCACCGTAGCATCAGTCCTCAGTTCATTTCTTGGAACGAACATCAGCATAGGTGCAAGCCCTCTCGCTTGGAGGGATATGCAAACAAACATCCTGATAGGGGTAAACTTGCACGCTACCGAGCATTCAACCGAGCACATGCATGCTTGGTTGAATGGTGAGATGCGGCCCCCCCTTCATTTCGTGCTCGGCAAGCCTGCCACCGCGTACCGGATATGTTAGCGATGTTACAGAGACGCTGCACCTTGGTTTCTGTGCGCAATGCGTACGCTGCTCGACCCCGCCGACCAAAACTACACGTGCCCAACTGAAGACATTCCCGGTGGTTGTGCAGCAGCTCTTGAGGCTGTTGCTGGCTGAAATCCATCCTGAGCTGTTGCAACACGGCTAACGCGGGCACTGTTGTAATTCCGGTCAGACTTCTTAGGCTTTTTATAGCTTGTTGTCGCGATAAGCGTTGTACTTCGATTGGTGTGATTCCTAGTTGGGTCTTATCGTACGGACTTGATCTATTGGTACTATTTGTACCCTGAGGCAAGTCTTCTCTATCAAGCTGATTGTAACAACTATTGCTCATTGGGACTTTGGAGTGTCCTTCGAGATAGGGCATAGTGTCAGCTCGCTTATCCAGCTTGTGCTTAACTGGATCGTGTCTCAGCTATTTCTGGCTATTTACGAATAGTTCACAACAGGTTATGAGCCCCGCTTGACGTCGCGGTGGCTGCAGTGATCCTACGCTTTGTTGAGCGCATACATTTTAAACACCCGTTCCTGAGTCATACGTGATTCTTTGAAAGAATGTCCGACATCGCTGGTTGGAGAGATGTGCTAATGGTCGCCAACTCTGGCGACTGGTTCATCAAGATGAAGGCCATCTTGGAATGTGAGGATCTGGCGTCAGTCGTCCACAAGGACTACATTTTACCCGAGGATCCTACGGAGCGGGAGAAGGAGTTGCGAAAGATAAGGAAGGCTCGGGCGCTGATTATCCTTAGGCTTGCGTCTGTCGAACACAAGATTCTTATCGAGTCGACCACCAATGCTAAGGATCTCTGGGCGGGACTTGAGCAGTGGGCTGGGCAGCTGAATGAGGCTGAGTTGGGTGCAGTCTCACAATCTTTCCACTCTATTACGATGCACCATGACGAGAGAGTGCACGACTATCTGACCCGCGCGGTCAGTATGTACGAGAAGTTGAATAGGTATAAAGATTTTTGCATTTCGGAGAAAAATGCGATTGTGTTAGTTGTTCGTGGCCTGCCCGATGCGTTGTATGAGACGGAGAAGAGAATTTTTGTCACGTCCTCCTATCCGAAGAATTTTCAGGAGCTGAAGGAGAAGCTCTTGGCCGCGGAGGCCAATCGACTAACTTCAAGGAGGACCGAGCCTGAGATAGCGACGGCGTTATACGCCGGACGCGGTGGCCGTAGGGTTAGCTGCTTCGTCTGTGGCTGCAACCACTACGCGAGGGACTGCTCAAAGAAGGTTAGCCCTTCTGGTCCCTCAGGCTCGGGTCGCTCGAACGGTGGGTCGGAGTTGTGATGCGATTGGTGTGGAAAGACGGGTCACCTGTCGGAGAAATGTTATCGCAAGCGGCAGGGTTTACCTAGGATCACCGAACGGAAACCGGAGGTCGTTGCGCTTACGCTGGTGGCCCGAGAACAGCAGTTCGTTCCCCAGCGGACTAGGGATGAGGAGGATCTCGACTACTACCGTAATCTGCCTAGGAGCATGTCCGCAGTTTTTGGGCGGGCACCATTTATCGAGAAGCTTCAGAAGGTAGTTTCGCAGTATCCCGAGAACCCGTGGTGGTTAGATTCCGGTAGTAAATATCATATTACGGGGGACCGAACTATCCTCCACGATTACTGCCGGATTGACCCTGACTTGTCGATTACGATCGAAGTTGGAAACGGGAACACACTGCAGGCTGTGGGTTACGGGAATGTGGTGCCAACCCGTGCTCCTGATATCAAGATAGAGGGAGTTTTTTATGTGCCAAATTTTAAGCATAACCTGATCTCTGTTTCGGTTCTGACGAACAAGGGTTTCAGGGTTAGCTTTGAGGACTCGGAGGCAATTATCTCGAAGGGTAGCACACGCATCTCTGCTACTAAATGTGGGTCAGGTCTTTACAAGTTCATGAGTAGTGCAGTTCCCGCAGTGGAGTCCTCCAGGCCTGCTGAGCCTGTCATCCCTTCCTTCTCTGCGAAGGTCCTAGATACTGAGACACCGGAGCTGTGGCACCGACGTCTTTGTCATTTGGGAATTTCGAACATGAAGAGGTTGGTGCAGGAGGGTTTGGTTAAGGGTTTGAGTCTTAACGCCGCTCAGTTGAGAGTTTTCGAGGTTAGGAGTTGCGAGCCTTGTGTGGTGGGAAAATTTAGCCGCGACCCGTTTCCCACATCTACAACGGTAACTAAGAGACCGTTGCAGTTGGTGCATTTGGATGTGTGTGGTCCTTTGCCTGTGTCCTCGAGTGGCCATAGGTATTTTGTTACTTTGTTGGATGACTATACTGGGGTGTCGTTGGTGCAGCCCATTAAGCATAAGTCTGATGTCCCGGACTTCATTGAGAGGGGCGTAAATTTGCTACAAGTTCAAAGTGGCTCTATTTTACAGGGCATGCGAACCGACGGAGGTGGCGAATTCGTGAACGCAAAAATAAAGGAATTCTGCAAGCAACGGGGTATTAGGCATGAATTATCCGCCCCGTACACCCCCCAACAGAACGGTAAAGCGGAAAGGTTGAACCGTACTTTGTTGGATAAGGTTAGGACGATGCTGGTGGATTCTTCGGTACCTAAGAAGTTTTGGAACGAGGCATTGGGTGTTGCATCTTTCGTTAGAAATCGATCACCTGTTTCGGGGAAATCTAAAACCCCGTATGAGTTGTTGACGGGTGAGGTTCCTGATGTGTCTTGGTTTAAGGTGTTTGGCTGCATAGGATACGTTCAGGTTCCCAGGGGTCAGGGTGGCAAGCTCGACCCAAGGGCCTATAGGGGCACTTTCCTAGGATACGAGCCGAACTCCAAGGCATACCGGATCTTGGTAGGTGATGGGCGTATTATTGTGTCTCGAAACGTCGACTTTCATGAGGATAAGTTTCATTTTCGTGGTCGCAATAGCGTTACTGAGGCATCTGCATCTGATTATTGGTTTGTCCCTGCTGCTGGTGCCCCTGCGGAAGAGGCGGGTGAGGCCGGCAGGGTTGTCCCTGTTGTTGCTCATGCTGCTGGTGCCCCTGCGGAAGAGGCAGGAGAGGCCGGTGTGGGTAATGCAGGTGTTGCTCCCATTGTTCCTGCTGCTGGAGCCCCCGCGGGAAATGCGGATGAGGCCGGCATGGACACTGAGGAGGACCTTCCCCCTCTGCTGGAGGAAGATGAGGGGGAAGAGGAGTACTTTGAGGGGGAGGAACCTGAGGTGGAGGTAGCTGAGATGGAGGCAGCTGAGGTGCTGGCAGCTGTGGTTGAAGGAGAAGTTATAGCTGATAGTGGAGCTGGTACCTCCGCTGGTACCTCCGCCCCCCCTGCTGCTACTCGTTCATCTACTAGGACCAAGCAGCCGAATTCCCTTTTTAAGGACTATGTGATGATAGCCAAAGGGGTAGAACCTCTAGAGCCTAAATCTCTAGCTGAGGCGAAGGCACGTGCGGACTGGCCCCAGTGGAAGGCGGCAATGGATGAAGAGATGAAGTCATTGTTAGAAAATCGTACTTGGGAACTTGAGGAATTGCCCAGTGATGCTAAGAAGATTGGCTTGAAATGGGTATTTAAAATCAAGCGGGATGAGAGTGGTAATATTGAACGGTATAAGGCTCGGTTGGTAGCCAAGGGCTTTACACAGCAGAAAGATGTGGACTTTGCGGAAGTTTTTTCACCGGTTGGTAAATATGCTAGTTTTCGTGCGTTGCTAGCTGTTGTGGCGGATCGTGATCTCGAGCTTCATCAGCTCGACATCAAAACCGCTTTCTTGAATGGTGTTTTGGAGGAGGATGTATACACTGAACAACCCCCGGGATATGAGCAAGGGGGCGCTAATATTGCTTGTCACCTACGGCGTTCGCTGTACGGTCTGCGACAGGCTCCGCGCACCTGGTATACACGTCTTCGTTCGGTGTTGGAGCAGATGGGATTCAAGCCCTCCACTGCGGATCCTGGTTTGTTTATCAAGACGGAGAATGGTGATGTAACACAGCAAAGGCGTAACCCGGGATGCTCAGATTGGCATTTGCGTCGTTACATTGCCCCCCACTTAGCAATGGACGTCC